TCACATCACCAAAGTGTCTGAGGGTGGCAATACTGGCTTATAAGGCCAATTTTCCTTCAGTCCCCAAAGCATGGCTCAAATCAAGATCCTTGACATCCAAGTACCTACTCTCTGTGCCTGCAAGAGGAACCTGACCAGGAAGGTTCAGCAGCCAGGCCTCGAGAGAGAGGCTGAGGCCTGAGCCTCACCATCTGTACAGGAGACCAGGCGTTCAGGTGCTCCCTCCAGTTCTAGGGCTCCCAGATCCTAATACTGTGTTGGAACATCCCGCATGGAAGTCCATACTGTCTGTGACTCTATGGGGTCTAGAATGAACAGAATGAACCAGGAGGATGAGCCATGTTTACCACGCTTACCTAGGTAAGGTTGTGGTCAGGGACTGTGCCCTCCAAGTCCAGGGCATCTGCAGTCACCTGCCTCTGGCAACCTCCACTCCTGCGAGTGTAGAGCCTGTACCATCTCTGATGAAATGCGGGCTGTCGATGTGTGGGAGTGACCGGTTATGGTTCTGTGGGCTTCCCAAATCCCATTATTGCAACCTGGGTAATTGTGTGATAAAAAGCCAACGGTTCCTAGCAACAACGAAAGGCTCTATGGAACACAGTAAGATTTTTATCAAGAAAAGCTAGTGAGGAGAAGAGACCGCTGATGGCTGGAACACTTTATCTCGGGATCTGTACATTGAGCATCCAAGTCAGGCCCCACCACAGACTGACTCTGTCTCAACAAGGCAGTGAAAGTCTCAGCGGAGTCCTTAGAGGTATGCTGTTTCTCTGTCCTCATCTCAGACTTGCTCCCTGGAGCCCTTGTTGTGGGAAAAACTAGAGCATTAAGCCCTTTGGGTGATCTTGGAAGCAGACTAAATAACATTAAAGATATTTGGAAAAGCTATGGTGAATCATGTTACTCTATGTTCACCTAAAAATTGCTTATTGTACGTGTATGTGCATACATACACGCAGTTTAATGTTAAGCATAGCAGAAATATCACTTTTGATGACACTGGAAACATTGCCTGGCTGATGCGGCATGGGTCTTTAGCCAGAGAACTTTCTGGAGCTGTTAAGGAGATCCCGAATTCTGCAGTCCGTAGGGTTTAGCGTGGACAGCCGCCACACCCATGACATCATAGATGGTGTCAGCAGCAGTGCAGTGGAATGGCCAGCTAGTTACGAAGCTACGAGAGAAAATATTTCAATGAAAGGTCATCTGGCTGGGAAAATAGGATAGAGAGTAAAAGAGGAAGTAGAGAGGGTGTGGAGAGGGAAACAAAGGGGGGATCGGATCTGGGGGGAGTGGGGAGGGGAGGTTTGAGGGCCTGTAGAGAAAAGGGAAACTGAAGGCGGGGTGAGAGGAACTGGAGACCCGTGACAGGGTGGGCTACAAGGAGGTTACAGGGATGTCCACAGATGTGCAGAAATAAAGATAGAGCCTGGAAATAACCAACCAATGCCTGGCCCAACCTGACACCCATCCCGTGGAAGAGAGCCAATCTCTGACATGATTAATGATGCTCTGCCGTGTTTACAGAGAGAAGTTTAACTTGACCATTGTCTGAAGACCTCCCCCCACCCGACCCCCATGGTCCCATGGCAGCTGCTTGAATCAGATGCTGAGACTCACAGACAAGAATCAGGTAGAGCTTGGGGAGTCCTGTTGAAGAGTGGGAGGGAAAGAAAGAAGGACCTGGAAGGCACAAGAACACTGCAAGGAAACCAACAGAATCAACTAACCCAGACTGTAACCTAGGGGGCTTACAGAGACAGAAGCACCAACCAAAGGGCTTAATCTAGGTCCACTACCCATATGTAACTGATGGGCATTTTGATCTTCATGTGGGTTCCCTAGTAAGTTGAATAGGTTCTGTCTATGGCATGGACTCTGTTCCTTGCTTTCCAACACTGTGCCTTAGCCAGGGTGCCTTGCCTGGCCTCAGTGGATGAGGAGGAGCTTAGCCCTGATGTGACTTGATGTGCTGGGGGTGGGTTAGAGGGGGTAGCTCCCCTTTCCTGAAGACAAGGGGAGGAGAAACAGGGTGAAGAGGGTAGAAGGAAGGGACCAGGAGGAAAGGAGGGAGGGGGCTATGATTGTGACATAAAGTAAATATATAAATTAAAAATAAATTTAAAAAATGAAAAAGCAGATTAAATAATGTAGGAATTTGTCAACTGCCAAAAAAAATCATCTGGCAAAAAATTTAAAAGGATAGCTAGAACATAGATTCTACCTCCCGATTTAATATGAGAAAAAAAATCTGACAGACTAATTTATATTATCTTGCTTAAACCTCACTGTATGTAATTTGCTGTTCTCTGGAGCTATACACACTCTCGTAAACAGTCTGGATCATTTGAAAGCCCTTTTCAGATCCAGAGTCAGAAGAATTTGGCTGGAATCTTACTACTGCAAATGTCTTAAGGGTCAGGTCACCTTAACAAATAATGAAGTATTTTCTGGAAAGACAGCTGCAGTGGAGTTGAGATCGGCCCGTGAGGACCTCTGTAAAGAGAGGGGCAGGTGTCGGGTAGGGCTGAGAGGCTCTACACTTGAACACAAGCCTTTAACCACACATCCCTCCATAGTGTGATTTATGAGGGCAGACAGTTTTGGGAGAGCTCGGGGTGGGAACTGTGAAGGAGCTTGTCATGGCACAACTTGTTCGCTAAAGATACAAATCCCACATGCAAGAGGCAGAAGCTGGCATCTCTGCGGGAGGCCGGAGATTCCGGCTCAGAACACAGCAGCTAAGGCACCGGGGTGGAAAACCGAGAGACTGAGCATTAGCGGCTTTCACACAGCAGAAGGAAGGAGGCGGGCTCCTGTGGAGGAATACTTCTCTCCCCCTGCTCTGCTCATTTGTGTCTGTCAGACCTCAAAGTGCCTGAAGCATGGCGGGCCAAGTGGGCTGTGCCCTCCAGGGAGGATTGGCAGGTGTCACACATGAGACTCAGCCTGAGATGGGTCTCTCCTGTGTGTGTGGCTTGCCTATCAGATCATCTGAAGGGCTTTTGGGGTCTGCGTCTCTTCCTCACAGGCTGCTATCTGCCCACCTCTTCTGAGGAAGGAGTGGTGCTGGAGAGCTGAGGTAGACTCGCTCTTGCCCTGGGGCTCTAGGGCTGACCACAGCATCCTTCGCTCCGGCTTTGACCTGGTCAGGATCTGCTGGTTACTGATGTCTACTCAGTTAAGAGCAAGCATCAACCAGTCGGAATGATGACAGTGATGGGGCCAGGACCCTCAGCTCTGTGGGACCTGCTTCCCAGTAGTCAATGGTCTGTGTAATCATGGCAAGTGAAGAATCCTGGCATTTGTTTTGCATTCGGCGGCAGAACAAATGTTGGAATAGATTCCTACTCTGAAAATTCCCACAGATTCTAGCAACTGTGTAACCTCAGCAAAGTCACGGACTTTTCTGTTTATAGCTTAGCCTGAAAAGCATGGTCTGATTAATAACATCTAATTTAAAAGGATGAGACCCATGCATACTGGGCTTCCACTCTTAGGTGCTGTGAAGTTTTGTCTAGATTGTTCATGTGACAGGATTTGGAATTAATTAGAAAGGCACACTTCCGAGTGTGTCTCTGACACTGTTCTCAGAGAGGTTTAATGGAGATGGGAAGACCCCTCAATGTGGGCAGCACCATCTCATGGGCTGGGGTCGCAGACTGAGTGGAAAGGAGAGAGTGAGCAGAGCACCAGCATCCGACTCGGCTTCCTGACTGCAGATGAGATGTGGCCTGCCTGTCATCTGCTCACTGCTGCTGCCTGTGCTAGGCACAGTGCTGAGTGCTGCCCTGCTCACGTGTGCAGCAGGTCCCCAGGGCTCTCCCTGTTTCCAGAAAATGTTTGAACACATCTGCCTCAGCTCTGCAATTTCAACTTACCACATCGGGTCTTCCCTGGGGAATTCCTACACACTAGACCCTCCTGGCAAAGGGAAGGAAGCGAAAGAGGACCCGATTACATCCAGCCTTCCCTAACACTGTGGTGTTTCTGATACCTGCCCCAATCACACCATTAGCTTTTGATAGATCTACATGTAGCAAACACAACAGGTGCTCCTAATGAAGTTGAACCTAGAAAATGTCAGCGCTCACCAAGAACCACCCCCATTTCTTTTGCCAGAGAGGATGAGTTCTCTCTCTTCCTGTCATTTTCTCTCTCTTCCTGTCACATCTGATTTCTGTTCTAAAGTGTGTGATGTGAAGTTTCCTTTGTGGGGCAGAGTGGTCGGGCACTTTGGATCTGCTACTGTTTGGGTGTGGTGGATGTTGGATGCCTGGTCTCCAGATAATTCTAATTGGACTGTAGGGCCTCTCACCCAGTCAGTGGAACAAGTCATTGCTGGTTCATAATTTGATGGCAAATATAATAGGAGGTGAGGCTTAGATCACGTGAAGGGGTGAATGGGGGAAATCACCGAGTAAGACAACTTGTTTTCTCTCTCTTTTTCTAATCCCCCCCTTCCCCTTCTATCTGTCCCTCCCTCTGTGTTCAAGTCACCATGAGGTGAACAGCTCTTTTTCTTATCCTGGACCCCCAAACTTTAGAGCTGAATAACTGTGGATTGAACTTCTGAAAGCACAAATCTAACACACATTTCTCCTGAGTTATTTCTTTCAGGCATTGGACAAATAGCAAGGAGCTGCCTGAGGGTGCAACATTGCTCACCTCACTGACTTCTCCATCAAAGATATTTCTCCAAGATCATGGGAATGTAAATGAGTGCCAAGCCACACCTTTCCCCTTGCAATTCTGTTTTCTCCACCACTGAATACTCAAGGCTTTAACCTGTGTGTCATGTCAGGGCTATCAAATGTGAAGAGAAATCTTAGATCTGTTGGTGATACTACCAAGAAAACAGATGATGAATTTTCATTGTTGACTTGACTGAGTATAGACTCACCATGGAAATCCACCTCTGGGTGCATCTAGGAGGGGATGATCTACCCTCAATGTGGCAATCAAAGTTAAACAAGGATTTAGAAAACACACCCAAAGTGCTTGCTTTGGCAGCACAAATACTAAAATTGGAATGATACAGAGAAGATTAGCATGGCCATATTTTTAAAATACAATCAAAGAGAGAAAGAAATGAATAAAACTTTTGAAGCCCTAAAAAAGGAAATAGAAGCAATAAAGAAAGCACAATTTGAAGAAAACCTAGGGAAAAGAGCAGGAACTACAGATACAAGTATCACCAACAGAATATAAGAGATGGAAAAGAAAATCTCAGGTGTAGAAGACACAATTGAAGAAATCAATATGCCAGTCAAAGAAAATATTAAATATAAAAAGTTTGTAGCACAAAACATCTAAGAAATATGGGACAATATGAAAAGACCAAACTTAAGAATAATAGGAATAGAAGGAGAACATTCCAACTTCCAAGGTCCAGAAAATATTTTCAACAGAATCATAGAAGAAAACTTCCCTAACCTAAAGAAAGAGATGCCTATAAACACACAAGAAGCCCATAGAATACCAAATAGATTGGAGCAGAAAAGAAAATACTTCCTTCACATAATAATCAAAACACTAAATATACAGAACAAGGAAAGAATATTAAAAGCTGTAAGGGAAAAAGGCCAAGTCACATATAAAGGCAAACCTGAAATACACCTGACTTCTCACCAGAAACTCTAAAAGCCACAAGGGTTGAAAAGATATCTTACACACACTAAGACAACGGAGATGTCAGCCCCAACTACTATACCTAGCAAAACTTTCAATCTCCATAGATGGAGAAAACAAGATGACAAAAACCAATCTAAACAACACCTATCCACAAATCCAGCCCTACAGAAGATACTAGAAAAAAATTCAACCCAAGGAGGCTAATTATACCCTGAAAATATAGGAAATAAACAACCCAACAACAGCAAAACCAAAAAAGGGGAAGTGTGCGCGCGCACACACACACACACACACACACACACATACACACACTATCACCACCAACATCAAAATAATAGGAATTAACAACCACTAGTCATTAATATCTCTAAACATCAATGGCCTCAACTCTGCAATAAAAAGACATGGGCTAACAGAATAGATGTGTAAATAGGACCATCATTCTGTTAATACAAGAAACACACCTCAGCAACAATGATATACACTACCTCAGAATAAAGGGCTGAAAAAGGTTTTCCAAACAAATGGACATAAGAAGCAAGCTGAAGTATCTATTCTAATATCTAATAAAATAGATTTTCAACCAAAATTAATCAAAAGAGATGGGGAAGGGCAGCTCATACTCATCAAAGGAAAAATTGACCAAGATGATGTCTCAATTCTGAACACATATATCCCAAGTGCAAATTCACCCACATTCACAAAATAAAAAAAAAAATTACAAAAGCTTAAATCATACATTGAACCCCAAACACTAATAGTAGGAGATTTCAACACTCCTTTCTCACCAGTGGACAGATCATTGAGACAGAATCTAAACAGAGAAATAATGAAACTAACCAATGTTATGAATCAATTGGGCCTAACAGATATCTACAGAACATTCCATTCAAACACAAAAGAATATGCCTTCTTCTCAGCACCACATGGAACCTTCTCCAAAACTGACCACATACTCAGACATAAAGCAAGCCTCCACAAATACAAGAAAATCAAAATAACACCTTGTAGTCTATCAGAGCACCATGGATTAAAGCTAGACTTCAACAACAACAGAAATAAAAGAATGCCTACAAACTCATGAAAACTGAACAATTCTCTACTTAATGACCACTGGGTCAGGAAGAAATTAAAGAAAGAAATTAAAAACTTTCAGAATTCAATGAAAATGAAGGTACAACATACAGAAACTCATGGGGTACAATGAAAGCAATGCTAAGAAGCAAGTTCATAGCACTATGTGCCTTCATAAAAAAATTGGTGAGAGCTCATGCTAGCAACTTAACAGGACATCTGAAAGCTCTAGAAAAAGGAAGTTAACACACTTAAGAGGAGTCTACAGCAGGGAATAATCAAACTCAGGACTGAAATCAATAACCTAGAAAGACCTACAAGATATGATAAACATAATGAAATCTACACACCTAAAGAAGATAATCAAGTAAGTGGACATGGGTGAAGATGATCAATCCTCATTTAGAAAGACAAATGGGATGTGCATTGAATGTATGACAGGAGTCTACCGCAAAAGGCATCTGAAAGACTCTACCTAGCAGTGTTTCAGAGAAGACACTAAGACTCATAACCAAACCATGGCAGAGTGCAGGGAATCATATGAAAGTAGGGGAGTTAGTATGATATGGAAAGGATAGGAGCTCTACAAGTACCAAATATATCTGGGCACAGGGCCTTTTCTGAGACTGACACTCAACCAAGGACCATTTATAGATATAACATAGAACTTCTGCTGGGATGTGGCCCGTGGTAGCTCAGTAACCAAGTAGTTTTCCAAAGCAAGGGGAACAAGGACTATTTCTAACAGGATCTCAAGGGCAGGGTCTTCCCCCCCCCCCATCCAGGGGAAGAGCAGTCCTGTTAGGCCACAGAGGAGGACTTTGCAGCCAGCCTTGAAGATACCTGATAAAACAGGGTCAAATGAAAGGGGAGGAGGTCCTCCCCTATCAGTGGACTTGGAAAGGGGCAGGGAGGAGACCAGGGAGGGAGTTGGGGAGGGGGAGGGAATGAGGGAGCGGGATACAGCTGGGACACAGAGTTAACAAATTGTAACTAAAAATAAAAATTAAAAAAAAAGAAGAATACAAAGAATCAACAAAATCAGGAGCTGGTTCTTTGAGAAAATGAACAAGATATACAAATCCTTAGCAAACTAACTAAAAGACAGAGGGAGAGTATCTAAACTAATAAAATCAGAAATAAAAAGGAGGATATAGAAACAGACACCAAGGAATTCCAAAGAATTATTAGATCTTACTTTAAAAGCCTGTATTCCACAAAATTAGAAAATCTAAATGAAATGGATGATTTTCTTGATAGATACCATTTATCAACATTAAATCAAGATCAGGTAAACAATTTAAATAGATCTATAATCCCTGAGGAAATAGAAGCTGTCATCAAAAGCCTCCCAATCAAAAAGAGCCCTGGGTCAGATGATTTTAGCACAGAATTCTACCAGATTTTCAAAGAAGAACTAATACCAACACTCCTCAAACTATTCCACAAAATATAAACAGAAGCAACATTGCCAAATTCATTCTATGAGGCCACAATCACCCTGATATCTAAACCACAAAAAGACCAAACAAAGAAAGAGTATTTCAGACTAATCTCACTATAAATAGTGATGCAAAAATTCTCAATAAAATACTTGCAAACTGAATCTAGGGACACATCAAAAATATCATCCACAATGATTAAGTAGGCTGCATCTCAGGAATGCAGGGATAGTTCTACACATGAAAATTCATTAATGTAATCCACCATATAAACAAACTAAAATGAAACAAAAAAAAATAACCACATGATCATCTCATTAGATACTGAAAAGGCCTTTGACAAAATCCAACAGCCTTTGTGCTTAAAGTCTTGGAGAAATCAGAGATACAAGGCACATACCTAAACATAACAATGGTAATATACAGCAAGCCAATAGCCAACATCAAGCTAAGTGGAGAGAAACTTAAAGTGATCCCATTAAAATCAGAGACAAGACAAAGCTGACTACTTTCACGTATCTCTTCACTATATTACTTAAAGCTCCAGCTAGAGCAATAAAACAAGTAAAGGAGATCAAAGGGATACAAATTGGAAGGGAAGAAGTCAAAGTATCACTAATCACAGATGATGTGATAGTATACATAAGTGACCCCCAAGATTCTACCAGAGAACTCCTACAGCTGATAAACACCTTCAGCCAAGTGTCTGGGTAAAAAATTAACTCAAAAAAGTCAATAGTCGTCCTTTTTAAAAGTGACAAAAGGGCTAAGAAAGAAATTAGGGAAATAAACCCCTTCACAATAGCCACAAATAATATAAAATAACTTCGTGTAATTCTAACCAAGCAAGTGAAAGACCTGTATGACAAGAACTTCAAGTCTTTGAAGAAAAAAATTGAAGATCTTAGAAAATGGAAAGATCTCCCATGCTCGTGGATCAGAAGGATTAACATAGTAAAAATGGTCATCCTACTAAAAGCCACCTACAGATTCAATGCAATTCCCATCAAAATTCCAACACATTTTTTTTTACAGACCTGGAAAGAGCATTAACTTCATATGAAAAAATTAAAGACCCAGGATAGGTAAAACAATCTGTACAACGAAAAAACTTCTGGCAGTTTCAGTATTTCTGATTTCATGCTATACTACAGAGCAATAGTAACAATAACTTCATGGTATTGGCACAGAAACAGTCAGGTTGATCAGTGGAATTGAATTGAAGACCTAGAAATAAACTCACATACCTATGGGGGCTTGATTTTTGACAAAGAAGCCAAAACCATGCTATGGACAAAAGAAAGCATCTTTACAAATGGTGCTGGCCTAACTGATGTTTGCATGTAGAAAATGCAAATATATTTATACTTATCACCCTGCACAAAAAGTCCTAGTATATCAAAGACCTTGACATAAAATCAGATACTCTAAATCTATTAGAAGACAAAATGGGGAAAAGTCTGGAGCTCATTTGCATAGGAGACAACTTCCTGAACAGAATACTAACAGCACAGGCTTTGAAATCAACAATGAATAAATGGGATTTCATGAAACTGAGAAGGTTCTATAAGTCAAAGGGCACTTTTAATAGGACAAAATGGCAGCCTACAGATTGGAAAAGATCTTCACCAACCCTACATCAGACAGAGGGTTAATATCAAAAATATACAAAGAACTTAAGAAATTAAACACCAACAAATCAAATAATCCAATTAAAAAGGCACAGAGCTAAACAGAGGATTCACAACAGAGGAATCTTGAATGGTTGAGAAGTACTCAACAGAAGAAATGTTCAACATCCTTAGTCATCAGAGAAAGGCAAATCAAAATGACTCTAAGTTTCCATCTTGTACCAGTCAGAATGGCGCAGATAAAAAAACTCAAGTGACAGCACATGCTGGCAAGAGTGTGGAGAAAGGAGGACACTCCTCCATTTTTGGTGGGAGTGCAAACGTG